CCTCCCGCACCAAAATTAAGCACCACCTAAAACCAATCCCGCACAAGGAGGACTTTGTTGAGTTAGTAGCTTACTGGTACTTGACAAGTCATTTACTGGAGAGAGCGGCATGGTCGCTATGTGCATCAGCGCTAACGTATCGTCATTTCCACGATACCCAGATGAAAACCAGGCTCTCTCAACATGATTTAGCACCCCCTCTGCCCCATCTGTTTTCTTTACTGCAACGAATTTGGCCACCTTGCTTCTTACTAGCATTGTCTCAAGGTTTCTATTGATTGTGAAAGGAAGCAATGGTGAGGCATTCGTGATGCAACTCTCTTGATGAACAACTCCTAGTCCACCAAACTTATCATTCCAAAGCAGAAATGTCTTTACCCAGCGCAGAAAAAAGCAAGAAAAGAATTGTTCTCCCATCAAGAGACATGGGCCCTAATTCAAGAAGATGTGGAACTGATGAACTGAAAAAAAAACCCCTAGCCTCCTACTTGCAATCTTCTTCAGTAGATCAAAGCCTTAACAGTGGGACAGCTTTCGGGATGACATTAAGGGTCCGCTTCGGTTGTGGAAGTCGAAGCAGGATCATCCGCCTTTCCACAGGCACTTTTGTATTGCTCTTCGGTCATTCCAGCAGGCGGAGCCTCCGGAGTGGGTTGGGGGTCTTTTTCTGGGTCAGCCGGCTAAAATATTGCACAGCGAGTAAAGAAATGAGTGTTAGTCTTCAATGAAGGCTCAAGTGAAATGGTGCTCAGACAAACCTTGGGGGAAGTGCCGGGAGTGCAACAGGTGGTACCTTGCGCAGCCGTTTTTTGGATCTTCACACTCTCACAGGTATACTTGTCATCGGTACTAGCGTTTGGTGCCAATGCAACTATCCGGCAGAAAAGAGGAAAAAAGAAGGAACATCAACCACCGCGCTATCGACCATAAATCAAATATTCGAACATTGGATTATAGCAAGAACCACCCACCATAGTATTTGGAAGTGCCGGAGTCATCTTGTTGAACAAAGCAACTGGCCTCTGTTTTTCCCTGGATATTCTTGCATGTGAACCCTGGGTTAGGGGCCGGGCCACCAGTATCGCTCTGGACTGCGATGACCATCGTTAAAGCTACAAACAATCTAAGGATGCAATTCATCTTTCAAGTTGGGAACGATAGCGGTATCAAGATAGCAAGCTCAAGGAAAATTCTGTAAGGGTGTTGTAGGGTTTGTAGTGATTTCAAGCAATGATATATTTACACGTTGTGGTCAGCGAATGGAGTGAGGTGAGAATGAGATGACAGCTGAAATGTCGATTTATGCCGCTCTTTTATAGCCGTGACAAGCGTCTCCCTCTAGCATGTTGAGCTCTGCAGAGCTCTACATACCAGCTCAACGAGTAGCAACGGCCTGAAAACAATCCACCCGACTACTGTGAACTTACTTTTCGCGTTTCATAGCAAATAAACTGGTGGTTTCCAATTTTCAAGGGGAGACCTATCAACGGTTTCACCATTTTTTTTTCTGGATAAAAAATTGTTCCTAGACGTCATGTGACCCAACCAACATATCACTGTTGCTACAACAAATGGCTTTCTTGATAATCAAGTAAACCAGAAACTTCAGACTGCACCCTCGTCGAAGCAGATTTCAAATGACAACTGATATTGTTAGGTGGCCATGAGTACCGAGGCAAGTATTTGTTACTTGCGCTGGAAGCGTTTGGAGACAATAACTCCCCGAATTTTCGACCAGCTGGGTTTCATAGTGTTCGGACCCAGTTGGATACGGTCACCATAACTCATAAGTGTTCCATCAGTAATCATGTTGTGAGGATACTTGTTTGGGTTGTCCCTGGCGATGTAAATTACATCTGGATGGGGCCTGACGTCACATCATCATTTCACTGCCTGTAACAATTCAAGTTCAGCTCTAGGCAGGAGGTGACGTCTGGTTCTAAAAGGTATCCCAACTGGTGACGTGTCCATGTAATGTTTATGGAAAGTCTTTGTAATACTACAGCAAAATTTCTAGCAAGATGAAATGAGAGCCGCCTGTTTTGTTCAAAGAGACATCTTTCTAACCTGGTTCTATCACTTTGTGTATCGTCATTTCTTTCCCTTCTTCTTCTTGGGTGCAGCCTTGGAATTTTTCGTAGTATCGCCAGGTCCTTTGGTGCCCTTATTCTTACTACCCGGTGCATCCTCGATAGCGGTGCCGGATGATTCGGTGGGCTTTTGGGCCTCGGCTTCAGCCATTGCTAGAAATCCATGTGATACCGCTGGTGAATTGTATGGCAAGTGGTTGATATTAGGAAGTGGAGTTGAGTTTTGATCTTTTGCGGTGGGTGGGGGTAGCTTCAGTCCGACGGTTTCCAAGGGTCTCAAGAGTAATCCAATTTTTACATAGCAAAGCGTACTCTATCAAGTTTCAAATAAGACAAAAAACAAGCTTGAGTTCTTGCGTATTTAGAATGTGGGTATGATCAAATGTTGGACTGACTGTTTGGGATCGAAGGGTCAATAGGCTTATTATTTCTTTTGATTAATACCTTGACCCGTCCAGGATTTTCCCAGTCTGCTGGGTGGACTTTCTCGTTCTGAAATCGAGTGAACAGATGAGTTATCTTGACAAAGAATGATTACAGCTGTTCGTGATTCCCATAGATGACGAATACTAACTTCTAAGACCATCTCCACCGCGGCTGCTAAACCGCGCTGCTTAACCAATTTTAGCAGCGCAAACCCGATTTAGCAGCTCCACCGGGGCTGCTAAGAGCATCTCTAACGGAGCCGCGATCGGGCGTCCGGGGGCGAACTTTGGCGGCCCGCGTTCCTTTTTTGCGCTCCAACGGACCCGGGAAACCACCCTGGGAACTTTGCGGGGGGCAGTCAAACCCTTGATGACCTGCGAACTTAACACAAGTCCCCCTGGTGGGAGGCTCGCTGGTGTGGGACTTGAAACTTAAAACGCATTTGCGGTGTGACCCAGAAGCACCGTTTTGGTGGGAGCAACCTTCCTTGCTAGAGATCGTTCGTCCGTACTTTTTGCAGGTACCTGGTACCTCCTGGGGGGTACCCCTCGCACCCGCCCCGCACCTGCCAGGAGGTGCCAGGTGCGGTACTTGGTACTTATTTTTGTGAAAAATTGAACAGGTAGCTAGGTACCTCTACAGGTACCCCCTCACTTCCCTACCAAAAATCAAAATAATTGGATGACAATGAAGATTCTTCCAATCAGTTATAAGTTGTAGATATTTTCAACTTTTCAATAAATTATTAAATATGAACAAATGAAAAAAGTGATCTAGTGGGACTGATGTTTTACAATAAATATGAAAAAAATAGAAAAGTAAGATTCTTCCAATTAGATGTAGATATATTACAACAGATATTAAAAAATGCCAAAAAAGTGACTTGTGAGTGATATTTTACAATAAATATGAAAAAATAATAATAATAATAATAAAGTGACTTGGGACTCTGGGAGTGAAACTATGTGAAAAAGAGAGGGGGGGTACCTGAGGTACCTGCAACGGGTACCTTGGGTACCCCCTGGGAGGTGTCTGGTGCGGTACATGGTATCTATTTTCTTGAAAAAATGAACAGGTACCTAGGTATAAACAGGTACCCAGGTCCGAACGAACGATCTCTATTCCTTGCCCCACCACTCATTCATTATAATGCCATTTTTTTCTCAATTCTAGTAGATGAAAGATCTACATAATCTTGATTTTCCTATATTTTTTTTATTTTGAAAAGGTGTGTGATTCTATTTGAAAATAGGCAATGAAGTTCATGATTTTGAACTTTAATTTGCAAATTTGGCAGAGAGGCTCGAGCGCAATCTCAGTATAAGCATATTTTATGCCTGCAAAATGAGAATTTGTCTTTTTTCTGTTTGTTCTTTTAAAAAAGATTGGTATGGAAATAAAAATATGAAAAAATACAGAAAGATCAAGAAGATGTCATAGAACCAGAAAAAAAGCACAAAGGAATTTTGAGAACAATAACATCAAAAACAGAGCGGAAAATACAAAAAAGAACCTCAAAATCATGCCTGACTCACGCGGGCTTTGAGGAATAATATGTAAGCCTCTCTGACGAGACTGGGCTGCCGCCCAGACCTGCCCGCACACGACTCTCGTCACAAGAGGCTTAGTTAAGCTTGGATGACCTGCCAACTTCTGCGGCCTGCCTCCCAGCCGCAACCACCCTCTTTCAGTCGACTTCAACCCAATCCTCAACCACCCCCATCTTGACAACACAACTCCTACAACTCGCACAACACCAATGGACACCCCAACTCGCCGCTCTCCAAGGAAAAAAAAAGGAAAACCTGTTCCGAAAAAGAAACCCGATGCAGTTGCCACACCAAAACCACCAACAATGAAGACACCCCGAAACCTGAGGAAAAAAAACGAGGCTTTCCACGCTGGTCGGTTGAAGAAGACAAAAAACTTTGTGTTGCTTGGTTAAATACGAGCCGAGATGCCATCGTTGGGAACGGACAGAAGGTGGCCACCTTTTGGGAACGCATTCATGAAATGCATTCCGAGCTAATTAACGAATACAACGAAGAAAAAAAAGGTGCGAAGGGCTTCAAAGCGCTTCCTCTACGACCCGTCGGTGCCGTCGAATGCCGTTGGGCACACATACTCAAGGTTCTTAACAAATTTTTGGGCTGCTACTCAAATGTTGAGCGGCGTATGAAGAGCGGAAAGACCCGCAAAGATGTTGTACGTTTCCTTTCCATTTTCACTTCACTCTTTTTTTACTTTTACTTATTGATGATATTTTTAGCTTACGGAGGCCAAGGAGCTATACAAGACCTCCTCCGGGTCATGCTTCAATCTCAATCACTGCTGGGGAATCTTGAAGGATACCCCCAAATGGCAGGCAACTCAGCAAGAAAACGACGGCCAAGGCAAGAAGGCGATTCAAGCTCAATCAAACTCACAATCAACGGTGGCCGCACCGTCTTCCGACATGCCAAGCTCGACCCCGGCTGCATCCAGCCCTACTGTAGTTATTGATTCCAATGAAGACGATCCAGAAAACAGTCGATCTGTTATTGGGAACGTTCGTTTGGAGGGTCAAAAAGATGCCAAACAGAAACGCGCGGAAGACAACGCGATTGAGAAGATCATTTCGATGCAACAGGACCTCGTTCAGATCTCACGCGAACGGTTGTCCTCAATGCAAGCATCAATGCAATCATCGGCGTATGAAGCGGTGATGTCAAAGGATCTCTCTATGTTGGACAAAGACAGCCGTACTTATTATCAAAAGAAGAAGAGAGCAATCATCGCTCGCGAGATACAAGAGGAAAAAGAGATGGAAGAGAAAGCAAGAAAAGAGAGGGATTTGAAGGAGAAAAAAGAGAAAGAAGAAAAGCAGAAAAAGGAAAAGGAAGAAAAACAAGCAAAGGAAAAAGCAATCACGGCCCACAACAAGACCGAGGAAGAGGAAGATGAAGACGATGCCAAAGACAAAGCCGAGGATGAAGCTGAACCTGATGTAGAAGATGAAGCTGAAGCGACGGAGGACGATGTGGACGAAGATAAATGAGGAAGAGGGCTCACTATCTCACTTATACAAACCCGACCTTGTTACTATCTCACTTATACAAACCCGACCTTGTTTTTTTTTTTGGATTCATTTTTTATACATATCTCAATGATGAAATCAATCCATTTATTTACTAGTTTCATTTGCAAAGATAGTGAGAACAATTGAAAAAGTGAGATAAAAAAAAATGAGAGAAAAATTGGTAAAGAAAAACTTCAAGTGAGAGAAAAGAAGAAACAAGCAAGAACAAAGATAAGAGAATAAAAAAGAAATAAAAAAGGGATTGAGAATCAATGTCGATGTGGATTAAACCTGGTCTGCCAGAGAATCATCTCCGTCAGAGCCATGTTTATTCCACAGATGATCGATGAGATCTCGCTGGAGTTGTCCATGTGACACTTGATCTCTGATCGCTTGGTATCGCAACAAAAACTGATCAAACAACGAATCTGTTGGTCCGTTTGTTGTTATCGAAGCTTGTGTGCGTGGTGTTTGGTGGTAGATGAAGTCTCCCTCAAACTCGCTTCCGGCTTCGTCTTCAATAGTCATGTTGTGCAGGATTATTACGGCCGACATGATTGAAGAGAGGTCATTGTGTCGCCAAAATCGACCGGGGTAACACACAATTGCATATCGAGCTTGAAGAGCACCAAAAGCTCGTTCTACATCCTTCCAGTAAGCCTCTTGCATCTTTGCAAAATGCTTCTTCTTGGCTCCTTGTGGTTCAGATATTGACTGGATCAGAGTCGCGTATGGAGGGTAGATGCCATCAGTCAAGTAATATCCGATATCGTATTGATTCCCGTTAACCTTGAACGAAACTGAAAGGCCTTCGCCTTCTTGAAGCTGCTCGAAGATGGGTGAGCGATCGAGTATGTTGATGTTGTTGAGAGTACCCGGCATTCCAAAGAATGCATGCCAAATCCATAGATCGTAAGAGGCAACAGCTTCAAGAACGACTGTAGACTCCTTTTCCTTCCCGGTATACTGACCGTGATCAGCAAATGGGCAATTCTTCCAGCACCAGTGCATACAATCTAACAACCCCATCATTCCCGGAAAGCCTCGCTCCTCTGCTACTGCCAAGAGCCTATGCGCATTGTCTTCATTTGGCTTTCGTAAGTATATGTGGCCGTAAACTTTAACAATAGTCTGGCAGAATTTTTTTAAACATTCAATCGATGTTGATTCACCTATTTCCCATCAAAGATATAATCAGTTTTGTGAAAAAACAGATCAAAAGTATAAGAATTTAACTTACTCATGCAAAGATACTCATCAATAGAGTCCCCACCACATCCATATGCTAACATCCGCATGGCCGCAGTGCCTTTTTGAAGAGCCAAAAATCCAAGCCTTCCAGCTGTGTCTTGCTTTTGTTGAAAGTATCGATCGGCCTTTTCAATATCTTCAACAATTTTGAGTAAAAGACTCCTGCACATCCTGAATTTGCAACAGAAGAGGTAATCAGGATAAACGCAGTCCTCAGAGAAGTAATTATTGTAAAGTTGCTGGTGTCCTTGAAGGTGATTCCGGTAAATTTCCCTTCTTCCAGGTGTTGAACCACCATGTTCCTTTTTTTGGTTTGTCTTGAGAATTAAGGCCAATGTGGTTTGGAGGGAGGCCAGAACATCGTCATCGTTGTCCATCCAATGGAAGAGATTGTCCATGATGTTGGTGATGCGAGACAAGGGTGGTAGGTGAATCCAGAGAAATGACTCGGATCGCTGCTCACAAGATAGCGCAGTCCATAACTGGAGCTGACCCGCAACCCATGGCGTTATTGTTTGCGGCCCGGGAACGCGCGTCAACGTGCCCCCGGACCG